ATTCCATGGGATTTTGCCATCTAGACTGCAACTTGAAATAAGCGTTTGGGATTTGGGAAAACGCGTGCACTGACGGAAGTGGCTTTAGTATTACTGTGTCTGGCCTGTGCAATCTTTGGTTTAGGATCAACTTGCCTGTCCCCTCCCCAGGCCTCTTAGGTTTATGGGATTTCTCTCACATCTTGTGTTTCTAAGTGGCTGAAGAATACCCAGTGAGTTAAATCTGCACCTAGCTGGGCCACCCCCTACCCACAGGACCTTGAGTGTTTCCAGGGCTGAACCCTACGGCCATTTGACACCTCTGTTTAAAGACACCAAAGGCACCTTTCTGCTTTTGCATTGTCTGCCACGTTTTCCTGTGTTAAGCCTTCAGGGGAGCTCAGCATCTGCCTGGAATTGTAGGAAGGTTGGGCTTGATTTATCTTTGATTATTGATATTGTCTTGTGTCTTGTATCTCTCCCTGCCCCTTTTTGCAACCCAGGTGCTATGTGGGTAGCTGTAAGCTTCTGGCTCTCTCCTGGGAAATAACTTAGGTAGCGACTAATTAAAAATTACAAATAAAATAAATAAACCAAACAAACAAAATTAGAATTATAAACTAAAATATGATTTGTCTGTTGTTTGCCAGTGCCATTCTCCCTGGCAATTGGGGAAGGTAGCAGATCAGGGGGTTACTATCTTAGGCCTTGTCCCTGCAGCCCACCAGATGGTGACAGGAAGGGTCTATCATTGCACTCCTTTCTTGGCCAGGGCTCTTTCTGCCCATTCCCAGCAGGGAGGCCCAGTTAGGGAGGCAGCCTGTGTCAGTAACATGGGGGTGGCAGGCTCACGGGATGGGTGCGGGAGGCCTGGGGCCAGACAGAGGACATGCGCAAATGTGAGCTGAGTCAGGCTTTCCAGCATCGGGGCAGGTCTCCAGAGTCACTTGGGGAAAATGTTTTGCTTTGTCTGGGAGCCTGATTCTTAAATTCTAGAGAACACCTGTTGTTTCCAGAATACCTGCTACTGAAGTATCTGGATGTGACCGTTGGGTCATAAAATTGTACTCAAACCCATGCAGATGGAAGGCAATACCAGTCAATTACCATGAAAACCATGAATATTCATTAGATCCCTCATGATGATGATTAATACCCTTAAAGCTATAACTGTCTGAACTCTTTTATGGACAATTGAGCTTGAGAATGGTTTATTTTAGTTTGTCTACATGGGAAATTAATTTTTGACATGATAATTAACATTACTATTGATTTCTTTTCAAGTTTATCAGAATACAAATGGTATCTACCAAATAAGAGCTTATAGATATTTAGATCAGATCACATACCTGAATTATTTTGCTAACAGACATTCTTAAGTCAGGGAAAACACCCCCCCCCGCCCATCCCCCTACACACACACACTATTCACCATGGTATAGATCCAACCAAACCAGTGTGTGTTTATGGGGTAGGATTGTGTAAAAGGTGAACACGGTGTTCAAGAGTCAACTTATAGCTAAGTCTGGCCTTATGACCTTGAGCAAATCACTTTTAACTTCTCAAATTTTGCAAAACATGAGTAATGATTGGTAAGGATTGTGATAATGGGTTCATTAATGGTTAGGGGCTCTAAATATATATATATATATATGTGTGTGTGTGTGTGTGTGTGTGTGTGTGTGTGTGTGTGTGTTTATCTATATCTTTGTCATAATTATAAAAATTACAAATTCCATCTTCATACAAAATTTAAATTTTGCATTGAGCTTTAAATTTATTCGTTGTACATTAAGATGGGTCTTCAGTTTAAGAAGCAACCAAAGCCTGACTGGGATGGCCAAGTGGCTGAGCATCGACCTATGAACCAGGAGGTCACGGTTCAATTCCCAGTCAGGGCACATGCCCGGGTTGTGGGCTTGATTCCCAGTGGGGGGCTTGTAGGAGGCAGTCAATAGATGATTCTCTCTCATCACTGATGTTTCTATCTCTCTCTCCCTCTCTCTTCCTCTCTGGAAATCAATAAAAATATATTTTTTAAAAAAAGAAGAAACCTAAAGCTTGGGTTTAGGATACTGAGATGCCTTTAGAATAAAACGTGTTTTTGTTTGCTTGTCGTTTCTTTATAGGCCAACAGAGCAATAAGCACCATTGGGTTAATGACAGCTGCTGCTGGAGCCTTCTCATTCCTGGGCTTGTTTTCAAAAAGACAAAGAGCTAAATACTGTTAACAATTTACTGAAGAGATATTGGGACTGAAGAAATCTGTGAGGCGAGGGGGGGAGGGGAGGGGAGGAAAGACCCTGGGATGAATACTTATTTTCAATGCATCATTATTGTTTCAAACTCCAATGATGGATGGCGGGCTCTTTAATAAATTGCTTACTGATATTATCTCATCATTGAGCTAAGGAAATTTTTCTTCCTACTAGCATAGATTTTCCTGTGGCAGTTTGGACAAGAATCAGTAACCTTTTTAGTGATCCAGCAGAGGATCTTAACAAAATCACATTATATTTTATCTTATACTATAAATATAAGTTTCCTTTTCCCTGAGGGTGGCTATTTTGTATTTGCCAGAAGGAAGAAGAACAGATTATATGTGATTTTGAAAAAAATGAGAATACCTCCAAATTGTTAGGGTTGACATCTAAATTCATACTCCTTTTCTGGTCAGAAAAGAAATTGGGAAATTCAGCATTTGGCTAGGCAGTTTGAGGAATTTTGATTAACAAGACATTTGAGGGTGCACACCTATCCTTCGCTCCTGCGTGGATGGGTGGGAAAGGGGGCTTTTGCTCCAGTGTTTCAGATCCAGTGATTTCCCTGGAAATGACTCATATATCAGAAGTCTGTGACAAACAAGAATAGGCTGTTACTTTTACCTACTTTGTTCCCTGTGGATTTTGAAGTATTTCAAGGATTTTAACCTAGAAAGAGATCCTTAAAGTAGGTGTAAGGGTCCATATTTAGAAAACAATATCCCATATTACTTTTTTAAGGTTTTTACTGTAAGTCAAGGAGCATTGTGATTTTATTCTTGCATTTTATTGATTATGTGTTGAATGAAACAAATTACTTTTAATACTTTTCTAGTAGAATTCTTGTTTGCAGCATGTGGTGAAAAATGGTTGCAGGTCTCTATACCCTAAGATTTTACTGGACATTGTAGCATAGCATTGCTTTAAAAACACACAAGCAGCCAATGACATCATGGCATTAGATAAAGGAAAAGTTCAAGTAAACATAGAGGGTGAGTGCCATAAAGGAACTAGGAATCTATACTAATAAAAGGGTAATATACTAATTAGACTGGATATACCAGACATTTTCCGGACATCCTTCCAGACAAAGCCACGGTGGCGGGGCCAAGGCAGAGGCGGTTAGGGGCGATCAGGCCAGCAGGAGAGAGCAGTTAGGGGTGCTCAGGCTGGCAGGGGAGAGCGGTTAGGGGTGCTCAGGCCAGCAGGGGAGCAGTTAGGGGCATCAGGCAAGCAGGCAGAGGTGGTTAGGGACAATCAGGCAGGCAGGCAGAGGTGGTTAGGGGCGATCAGACAGGCAGGCAGAGGTGGTTAGGGGCAATCAGGCAGGCAGGCAGAGGTGGTTAGGTGCGATCAGGGAGGCAGGCAGGTGAGTGATTAGGAGTCAGTGGTCCTGGATTGTGAGAGGGTACAGGCCGGGCTGAGGGACCCCGTCCTGTGCACAAATTTCATGCACTGGGCCTTTAGTATGATAGATAAAGGGACAGAAGACTCAAAGAAAGACTTGAACCTATTAAACGAATTTAGATTTTACCCCAGGGCCAAAAATACTCTACAGTTTAGCTGCAGGGTTAAGAATAGTGGTAACAGAAGGGGTCATGTACTGCAATCAGAGCCAGTAGAGCTCTTTTCTCTTCTTCTTCCTTGTTCCCTGACTTTTCTCTTTTCAATTTTATGGTATCTCCCTTCCTCTAGTGGACCTGGGGGAGGCGGGTAATGGATGTCTCCTACCAGATACTATGATCTAAAAATATTCATTTTTTTAAAAAAATTTAGTTTCCTGTTTCTTTTATATCCTGTCCTTGAGTAATAGTTTTAAAACAATGAGCTCTTTTCTAGTATTGTCAAATTAGGGTGAGACTGATGGTGGTTTAATTACCTCTCCCAAGATGTGTTTATATTTTAATAAAAGTGACTTTGGAGGGCAAATCTTAACCCAAAACAGGAGTCTTGGGTGTGGTGGAATTAAGGCATTGGTGGATGGGGGAGGGAGCAGATGTGAGAACAGACCTAAGAATAACTCATGTCAAACCTTTCTATAGAACTCTGGACTTCGCCACTTCAGAAGTCATGCTAGATAATGCCAAAAATGCACTTTTAGTTTTTTAAATTTATCTTTATTGTTTGAAAGTATTACAGATGTCCCCCTTTGTCCCTTCATTGACCCCCCTCCACCCAGAGCTCCACCCCCACCCACCTTCACCTTACTATTGTTCGTGTCCATGGGTTATGCATATATGCATATAAGTTTTTTGGTTAATCTCTTCCTGTCCCCCCTCCATCCTTCTGTCTGAGATTCCTCAGTCTGTTCCATGCTTCCATGTCTCTGGATCTATCTTGTTCATCAGTTTAGTTTGTTCATTAGATTCCACATATAAGTGAGATCATATGAAACTTGTCTTTCTCTGACTGGCTTATTTCACTTATGAACTTTTATAAATTTATGGATTAATTTTCACATAGGTAGTGTTCAAGGCTCCAATAATTTTCAACCTTGAAAGTAAGCTCACAGTTAGCCATCAGTGTTCCCATAAAAATGGCCACTCCTGTTGATGGGCAGTTTTTTTATAGATCAGCAATTTTCAACCAGTGTGTGGTGTGCTGCAGGAAATTTTAAAACATGCAGTACCCGACTATTTAGTCAGGGGCACTGACCTCTTTTCCCGTAGATTGTCAAATAAAAAAAATGACAACAGCCAACACAACAATAGCCATCAGTGTAAATGAATCAAAATTATACCTATTTTGTTGTCAGATCAGGAAAACATATATTTTTTGGTTGCCACAGAATTTTAGCAATCAGTTTATGTGTGCCACGAGATGAAAAAGGTTGAAAATCGCTGCAATAGGTGATCATTTGATATATGGCCATGCTCGTGCTTTTTTCAAAGCTTTTCCCCAAGACTATTAAACCTTTCTCTGAGCATATATTTAGCAAAGTTAAGTATAGACTTCAACTTTAACATATTCCACTTCCAAAGAAATCTGTGAAATAAAATGATCACCTATCAGATACCAAAAAGGTTGTTGGAAAAACTGGGGCAAAAAAAAGAGGTGTACATTTATTAAATCAAGATTTTAAGAAACCTGTTTACGCTGTCATAGGGTATAAGTTGAATCCTCCTGTGCTAATGGTCAAATTATTAAATGCCCGAGTTACATATTTTTTATGTTGACATACAATTTTAACCATAAGATAAATATATTTTATCTTCTTATCACTTATTAGTAGACACTAAATAAGACACATTTTGAAAATTATCATTTTCCAAGAGCTGTGCACCAAAGTAAAAACAAGGTTTTGCAAATAAAATGTAAATATAAAGGGTTGTTTTTATAAAAATTTGCATTAATGCTGTTGGTTTGTGTAACAAAGCCTTTAGTCCTATTTACAGAAACAAATTGATGAAATGTAAAAATTGTTTTTCACTTCTAAAGGTTTCAGAATTGTAAATATATTATTGAAAGCATACATCAGTGTTTGACACATAATTGGCACTCATGGAATGGGATGGTTACCTAATTGCCTATGAACTGTTGAAGTTCTGTTAAGTTAGCAAAATTCGATTTATTGTTACAAATAATGCCTAGTAGATAATACACAATGTTCACTAGAAATAAATGTCCTCTCAGGTCACAGTGGAGTTGATATGTACTAAAGAGAATAGTGTACACAATATATTTGTAAAGGATGGACCTCTTCTTGTAGCTGTTAATGTGCATTGATTTAGATAATGAAAAGTGAAATGAAATGTAAGATTGTTTAGTAGCCTGAAAATTGCCATGGTGTAGATACAAACATTATGGGTCCATCCCTCCCCTAGGATTGTGTTTTAAAATGAGTAATACGGACTTCGGGCCAACTTTTAGAGTTAAAAAAACAACAAAAATGTAAGGATTTCACCTGTCAGTAATGAAGAGTAAATAGAGGTGCAGTGCTTCTTTAATGTAAAAGTACATTTTAACCGTTTATTTCATTACCTTTGTGATCGACTCTGGACATAGCTCATTGGCCCCAAAACAATATGTTTTGGGAAATGCCGTCTTTGGTGGAGTTTGCTTAAAAGCTGTGCCCAAGCCAAGATTATATGCGATAAACAGACACCTCCATCATTCTCCACTGCCACACAGCTCCAGGTCACCATGGTTAGAGCTGAATTTTCTAAGTAAATGTCAATTCTTGTTTCTCTCTTACAACTGTACAAAAGGAGCAAAAAGAAATTTTGTGACCTTGGAAAAATACTTGTACATAAATGTTCTTCGCAAGTGAATGTAAGGTTAAGTAAACTTGTGACAGTTTATTCAGAGAAGGGTGTGTTTTTCAAATGCTTTATTTCTGTAGATGAAAATAAAAATATATTTGTGAAATTTTCAAAGACCAGATTCTTTTTTAATTTTCCTTTTTAAAAAAATTGATGTTCATACTATTAAATTCACTACTGTGAAAAGCTGTATATTTTTACCAGGATAATGCTATGTAATGTGAATAAAGTTTATTTAAAAAAAATAGATAATCCAGGCAATGTATTTTTTCCCCTCAGTGGTAAAGGGTAGGATACAGTCAAAATAAGCATTGTTAAGGTTCTTTGTTGCAAAGCTCAGTACACTGAGAAATGTGTTTTGAGTCCTCAGCTGGAGAGAGAACAGATAAGGGTAAGCTACCCTCACCTCTCCACAGTGCTGTAGTTTCTGGGGAAAAGGGGATGCTATTAAGCATGTACAACAACAATTATGATTACAGTCTGGTCCAAAAATGCTGTTCTGTGGTTTGGCCTCCCTGTTGGAGCTTTCCCTTTGGGATCTGCTCAGGGCTTTCATAGCCTCGGTTGATGTAGAACCCATTTTGGCCGTCGCCTGAATAGTCCGTCCTGTTTATGGGAGGCCAGGTGGGGTCTTCTGCCAGCTTCCTCTGCCAGTTCCTATATTGACTTTTCGAACAGAATCCAAGTTTATTTTTGATCAATAGCCAGAGCTCTCGATTTTGAAGGATGGCATCCTGGGAAATCCAGTGGAAAAAAACAAATCATCATCCACTTCCCCTGCTGCCTGGTCGCTGGCTTCTCCCCACTGCAGGCCCCTGCTACCACCACACGCTGTCCCCCAGCCTCCCCCTGAGCGGTGCTTGTTGCTGCTGCTATGCTGGTTTCTCCCCCCTGCAGGCACCACCAAGTCTAACAGCTCCCCTTTCGTTCTCTTGAGAAGCAAGTGTACTTGTGTCCTCAGAAATCTGCTGAATGTAAGCCTTTCATTTCCACAGATTCGTAGTTAAATTCTAGCTAACGATTCACTTAGAATTAGTTTACTGCCAGCGACCACCAGGTATTGTACTCAATAATGTACTCAAAATCAAGAAAAAAAATCACTGCTACCTGCCATATGCCACCTAGAAGATGACAAATAAAGGCTTGTTGAATTAATAGATGGACTCTTGCAATCAAATAGATTTTGTTTCCATTTAGGGCTCTTTTTTCTTTCTAAGCTCACATGCACATGATTTTTACACATAACAGAACTTGTCAAAGTTTGCATTCCACTTTTGCTTGTACTAGACTTTCATATACAATTTGTAGCTACCGTCTTCTTAATACTCCTTTTTAATGATTGTATAGCTTCTCTTCAAATTTCTGTATCACTAAACAAACAGCATCTTTACTTTCGAACATGTGAGTCCAGTCTAATATGTTACCACTGTAGGTAATACTATGATAATACCTTCATACATGTGTTTTTTTCTCTCACTTTTTAAAAAATATAGTCTCAGAACTAGAATTCCTCAGTTAAAAAGTATGAGAAATTTTATATTGGTTGCATTCACTGGAATATTTGTCTGTGTGTGTGTGTGTGTGTGTTTAAAAATTTGGTTGATTCCCTTTCCTAAAGAACATACAGTACATGAATCTTTTTTTTAAAAAAAAATTCTTTAAAAAATATAGAACCTGAAGCTGTCACTGAGTAGGTAAAGTGATTTAGTGACACTAAGTAGAAGAGAAATGCTATCGGAGAAGACCTTCCAGGGTAAGAATTGACTAGAATGAGCAATGGCTTCCCTTCTCTCTTGATTAAGGAAGGCCTTCTGAAAACAGAGCTTCACTGTAAACGGTCTCATTGAATTTCCAAGCTGGAAGGTCACCTGGTCCAGTCTCTAAGGAATAATTGAGCCCACTGGAAAAGTACAATACAGTGCCTTCGGATGAGGCAAAATTAGAGCTATTTTCATGGTTTGCTTTCTATACTACAGATATCAAGAGCATTTCTATGCAGCCTTCAAAGGATTATAAATCATTCTATAAGAAATTTCCCCCAAAGGGCACATGCACAGTTTTTACAAACCCTTCTTAACTATCACTATTGGGGACAAAGGTGTTTGCTCTAAAAAATGAGCATCTGTGGAGAATGAGACCCTTGATTTGCATATCTCCCTGGAAGAATGATAGGAACCACACAAAAATCACTTTACCTCTACAAATAAGGCCACGCAGAACTGGATGAGGGCTGCCACCAAAATTGAAACCCTCCATGATGTTGTGGTTGGGATTAACTGTGGAAAAAGGAATACTGCTATGAGACTTTTCATACCTTACACTTTGACAAAACATATTTAATTTACATATTTGTAACAACTCTCTGAGCTCGGAGGGTGGGCATTATTTTCAGCACTTTACAGATGAGCAGGTCAGTACCTTGCTCACGACTCAAAGCCAATAAATAAAAGGCAGAGCCAGAATTCAAAGGAGAACCAACTGCCTCTTGTCCTGTGCTCCCTCCAGTGCCTGATGACAGACATGGAGTAAATGTGCCCTGGGCCGCAGGCGTGAGACAGGGCATTCGGAAGCCTGTGTGTCTCTCTTCATTTTTGTCTTTTCAAATCCAGCAAACAAGGGTATATGATTAAATCATTCATCTAATTACATTATTACTTCCAATTCTCCCAAAGCTACATCTACCTGAAATTTATTCTTTCAGTAAAATTGACCTATGGGTAAACATAAGGGGGCAGAAGTTTACGTTTATTTTAACTGAAGTGAAGGGAACATTTTCTGAACACATCTTCCCAGCCCTAAACCAATGGCTTGATGAAAGTCAAACCTACCAAGCCACCTCCTTTTAAGGATCAAAGGGTACATATTGACTTATTGAATGAGTGTAAGAGCTACAACTTCCCATGGCTGCATCCATGGCAAAACAAACAAGGAAACAAACAAACAAAAAACCAAACCATACACCCAAACACACACAAAAAAACACACACATAAAAAAACTACATAGCCCCATTTCTGATCCTAAATGGCAGCATATGGCTAACTATGTAGAAGACTGAGCTGCCTTTAGGACTAAAACTACAGGTCCTCCACAGTACCAAAATGCTCTCTTTTAATTCTCATCTCTATTCTGATATGAGTTATTTTTCCCCCAAGTGGAGACAGCCTTTCTCTCGGTTGTGAAAAACAGCACACTCAGTGCAAGGGTTGTCTGGAGAGGCTGTAAGATAAGGTAGTAGGTCAATACTTTTTTATTTCTCCCACAATGTTGGGTCCAAGAACAGGCTCACTAACCTCTAATAAATTTAATTTTAACCCACTGCACCCTGGATCAAATAAAACTCCTTACAGTCAGTTTCCAACAGATAGAAATATGATTGACCTATAAGTCTACTTTTTCTTACTCCTCACAGCTATGGTATGAAGGATTTCTACTATATGTTTTAAAATATTAAACTTGAAAAATTAATTATTGAATCAATGCATAAAATTTATTCTACCAGTATAACATTGAAGAATAAAGTATCTAAATATAATATTTCAGTTGTGAACGAAATAAATATACCCAATTGGGAATACCAATAATATGAAAACAGTGAGAGGCTAGTATATGTAAGATCCAGATATATCGCTTGCACTTCTAGTAAATAGGAATAGTCTCTCAGTGATCAGAGAGATTATGGTAACAACAGAGTTGGAAATTACAATGCAAATATGGTCCCACTGCACATGTGAGTCATAACAGATGTGCAAACCAATACCACTTACCTCCATTCTTCGGTATATAGCTTGAAAATCAGAAAACATGATGAAAACTATGAGGCCCAAGGCAGTTATCAGCAGAAATGAGAATACATCTGAAGAAACACCAAACATTACTTTTAGATGCTAAAGGAATGTTTCACATAATTTGGCACACATTGCAGAATCAATTATCTCTGTTGGGAAAATACTAGATACATCTTTGGATGTTTTGAAATATCCTCATATGTTTTAAAATATGTTCAAATGCTTATAAGACAAAGGTGATATCTTAAAGTCTTTCCTCGAAAGGCTGGGTGTAGAAAGCTGCTAATAAGTGTAGTAAAGTAACTTCCATAAAGGAGCTACCTCAACTGAGGAGTCCTGAGGGGGGCGGGGCAGTGGCGGCAGGACCTTTTGCAGTGATCAGTCCATGTAAATCAGGGGTCCTCAAACTATGGCCCGCGGGCCACATGCAAATACAAATATTGTATTTGTTCCCGTTTTGTTTTTTTACTTCAAAATAAGATATGTGCAGTGTGCATAGGAATTTTTTCATAGTTTTTTTTAAAAAAACTATAGTCCAGCCCTCCAACGGTCTGAGGGACAGTGAACTGGCCCCCTGTCTAAAAAGTTCGAGGACCCCTGTTGTAAATGGTCACCAGACAGACCATGTATCTACTAAGTCGTGCCTTCATGGACAGTCAGTCCTCTTGATAGTACCTCATTCTTCTTCGTTGCCTACAGAATACATCCAAGGGTCTTCAATTCATGGCCTTCCACAATGTGGTTCCAATTAGCCTTTCTAAACTGACCTCTGATTGCTCTTCCTTACATGCCCAGGGAAGTTAAACCATAAACCTGCTGCTTCCAGAGGCCCAACACTTTCCACCTTCTGTCCCCCCCGTTCACAGAATTCCCTGTGTAGATGATATTTTTTCTCTCTTGGCAAGTTTCATTTTTCAAAAAAAGCCCAGTTCAAATATGACTTTATCTTTAAAGTTCCCCAATTCTCCCTTATAACATTTTATTTCATATGGTGTATATCATGATCTTTGCATAATCTTCATTTATGTATCAACTAGACTGTAACCACTTGAAAGTGACTTTGTACTTGCTTCTCACTGGGGCTCTAAATTGAAAGAGTAAGTGAGAAACTAGCCTGCACATCGGCTGGGTTCTCTCTCCCTAGCCTGCCAAAACTGCTTTACTTTTGGGAGCTAAACTTCCCAGAATGCAATGTGCCAACATTACTGCTCTTACCCCAAACCTCATCCACTCCTGTGTCCATCAGAGCTTTTAGGTACTTTGTAGATGGTGCCTTGGAAATGCTTTGATAGAAATAGTACTGTAGCATTTAATCAGTGTTTCCATGACATCAATGATTCTCATAATCCTCAAAATTTATAAACAGCCCTAGCTGGTTTGGCTCAGCAGATAGAGCATCTGTCTGCGGACCAAAGGGTCCCGGGTTCAATTCTGGTCAAGGACACGTGCCTTGGTTGCAAGTTCCTCCTGGGCCTGGGCCCTGGTGAGGGCTCATGCAGGAGGCAACCAATCAATGTGTTTCTCTCACACTGATGTTTCTCTCTCTGTCTTTCCCTCTTTCTTCCACTCTCCCTAAAAATCAATGAAAAAATATCCTCTGGTGAGGATTAACAATCAAACAAACAAACAAAAATTATAAACAAACGAACTAGGTTTTCCCTTATGCTCATTATTCCAGTGTTGATTGTCTACTGGCCCTCAACTCTACATAGGTCATATCAAGGAAAAATCAAAGGCAACTGCTCCTCTACTGCAGGCCCTAATTTTTTAAACAACCAGAGCTCTGGTTTCACCCTTGTTCATCTACACCCACCGTCATAGTAATCTACACCTCACTTTATATACACAGCTACATACAGTGCCTCCTGGAGAATACCGGGCTTGCTCAGGAAGGACGTGAGGCTAAGAGGAGAAAACCTGGGGCTGCATCTCCCCAAATTAAGCAATCTGAGCAGCTTGGTGACAAGAAGATCCCAGGAAATGGCTATGTGGATTGTTCATTTACGTCATTGTTTCCAAGTCCCAGGGACCCAGATGTTGGGAAGATGGTGCCCCAAATGTCCATCCTGATAAAGGCCTGGTGCTCACTAGCAACTGAGTGCATATCACACTGTCCTCAGACTAATGATCTGAAAAGCAGCCAGTGCATGAATGAGCAGTGTGGAAACAAAATTATAAGGCTCTCTTCTTTAATTCAGCTTTGGTTGGAAAATGTAATGAACAACTGAAATGAATGCTGCCCTCCTTGGTTAGTCACTATTGATGAGGAAATTTAAAGAATCGGGCTGTTTATACAGGTGATTTGGAAAGAAAAGTCCTGGGCAAGCCATTACAGATTATTTTCAGATAAGTGAATATTCACACCTGTTTCTATAAAAATTTAACCCATACTGAGAACAGATTGACAGTTGCCAGAGGGGAGGAGGGTTGGGGGACGGGGTGAAAAAGGTGAAGGGATTAAGCACTACAAATCAGCAGCACAGAATAGTCATGTGGATGTAGATTGCAGCATAGGGAATATAGTTAATAATGAAATGATGTATGTGTGTGGGGCTAAGTGGGTACTTGGGGCAACAGGGGACAACTCTGTAAAGTGTGTGATTTTCTGCCCACTTTGCTGTGCAGAATAGTGTTGAATGTAAACTGTAGTTGAAAAAAATTTAATCTATACTTTTTTTTATATCCAATCATAAGTTGATCTTCTGCCAAAGGCTGTTAAGAAGGGCAAAGACTTTTCTGTTGTATCAATATAAAATTGCTTGTATATTTTAATAGTAGCTCCAAGAACTTTGACTTATATAACCTTGAAAGAATAGGATTTATTCTATTGGTTAGAACTTTTTTCATTTTAAATTATCAGCTATGTTTGACATGGGGTTGAGTTTACCCAAAAGCTTTAAATCACTATGATGTAACTAATTCAGCTCTAAAAAACTCAATTTAAGCAAAAGGACTCTGTAGCTACAATTCAAATTGAAGCACTAGCTAATGTAATATATCCCCCTTGTGAAATATCTATATAAAAGCCTAAGCAACCATCTCAACCAAACGGACGACTGAATAGGCTGCATGGGGCAACCAGGCTGGCAAGGGGGGCAGTTGGTGGCAACCAGACCAGCGGGGGGGGCGGGGCAGGTGGGAGCAATCAGGCCAGCAGGCAGAGGCAGTTAGGGGTGACCAGGCCAGCAGGGGGGCAGTTAGGGGCAATCAGGTAGGCAGGCAGGTGAGCAGTTAGGAGCCAGCAGTCCAGGATTGTGAGAGGGATGTCCGACTGCTGGTTTAGGCCCGATCCCCGGGCCTGGTTTAGTCAGACATCCCCCGAAGGGTCTTGGGTTGGAGAGGGTGCAGGCTGGGCTGAGGGGACTGCCCCCCCATGCACGAATTTCATGCACCGGGCCTCTAGTCTATATCTATAAAAAGCCAGTGACTGGAACACTGTAACAACCGGTTGTTATGATGCCCACTGCGGCCAGTGAACCAGCAGATCCAGGGTGGGGCTGGCCAGCCAACCTCCCGTGGCCCCTGCCCCGGCCGGCCTCGCCCCCAGTGGGCCCCCCGACTCTGATCAGGGGCAGGACCAGATGGCCAGACACCTGTGACCCCTCCCCCTGGCTTGCCCTGCCCTCAATCGCCCCCCCCCCACACCAATCAGGAGTGGGGCCAGCCAGCCAACCACCCACAGCCCCTCCCCCTGGCTGGCCCTACTCCCGATCAGCCACCACCAGCCCGATTGGCCTGCGGCCTCTTCCTCCAGGCAGCTCCACCCCTGATCAGCCTCCCAACCCCAATTGGGGGTGGGGCCCACCAGCCAATCGTCCACAGCCCCTGCTCCCCTGGCCTACCCGGCCCTGATTTGGCCCCATTTGGGGCCAGGCCAGCTGGACCCCACCCATGCACGAATTCGTGCACTGAGCATCTAGTCTACACTAATAAAAGAGAAACATGGTAATTAGCGTACGACCGCTACCCTTCCCATTGGCTAATCAGCATATCCTTGTGCAAATTAACTGTCAGCCAAGATGGCGGCCGGCAGCCATGCACTGAAGCGAACAGGGAGGCTTGCTTGCTCCAGTGACTGTGGACTCCAACATTCCCCGCCTGAGTTGCCGGCCTCTCAGCTGCAACTCTAAGCAACTATGTACTATGTTGCAAATATAGAAGCTAAACAAAACCCCAGAAACCGGCTTTCAGTCAGCCTGCCTTCAGCCAGCCTGACCACAACATTGTATCAATGTTTTCAGCAGTGAGGCCTCAGAGCTAAAGCTGGCCCAGAATAGAAAAAAGAAAAAGAAAAAAAGGAGCAGTTGGGAGCTTCAGTCACCCGCCAACGTGAAAATGGCCCTCAGCCCCTCAGCCAGACTGGCCAGGCACCCCAGTGGGGACCCCCACCCTGATCCAGGACACCCTTCAGGGCAAACCAGCCAGCCCCTATCCGTGCACCAGGCCTCTATCCTATATAGTAAAAGGGTAATATACCTCCCAGCACCAGGATCAGCGTGACAGGGGGCAGCGCCCAAACCCCCTGATCGCCCTGTGGCTCTGTGAGTGACAGGGGGTGGGGCCACAACCTCCCTATCTGCCCTGCTCTGTTTGTGACAGGGGAAGGCGCCCCAACCCCCTGATCAGCCCTGCTCTGTGCCTGATAGGGGGGAGCTCCCCAATCCCCTGATCGCCCTGCGGCTCTGTGTTTGACAGGGTAGAGCCATAACCTCTCCATCGGCCCTGCCCTGAGTGTGACAGTGGCGGTGCCCCAACCCCATGATCGGCCCTGTTCTATGGGTGATAGAGTGTGGCGCCCCAACCCCCCTCCACGGGCCTTGCTCTATGTGTGACAGGGTAGAGCCATAACCTCCCCATTGGCCCTGCCCTGAGTGTGACAGGGTGCAGCACCCCAACCCCCTGATCCTCCCTGCTCTGTGTGTGACAGGTGGCAGTGCCCCAATTCCCCTATAGGCCCTGCTCTGTGAGTGACGGGGGGAGCTCCTCAACCCCCTGATGGGCCCTGCTCTGTGCGTGACAGGGTATGGAGCCCCAACCCCCCTGATGGGCCCTGCTCTGTGAGTGACAG